AAGTGCCACATAACCTTCGAGACCACTTCTTCTGAGGCACTTCTTAACGGTGCAACTTATTTCGTTTGGTATGAAAGGTAGCATGAAGGGGATCTTATTTAGGTTTGAAACATTATTTTGGGGAGTAGCCCTACGTTTTTGTCTGATGGAGTGGCTTCTGCTTCGTAGCCATTGGAAATTGTTATTTTTCGTGCCAGGTTTAGCGATTCCTTCCTTTCCTCTTCTCCTGTGCACAAATTTTCAGCCATTCGGTACATGTTTTTGATGAGTGCTTCTTTCGTGTGTGAAGGATGAGAGGAGAGGTAGTGAACTTTTACATTTTGACTACTTGGCTTACGATACCGTTTTGTTATATAGCCACTTTCTGAGAGCTTTATTTCGGTGTTTAAGAATGGAAGCCAGTTCTCAGTTGGTTTTTCTTGAATAAATTCTATGTAGTCCTAGCGTCTGTTTAACAGTTCGCACCACTCATCCATCTGTTCCTCTGTGGAACAGACGATGAAGCAGCCGTCTATGTATCGACCAAACAGAACGTATACATAGGTAGATAAAGACTATGGAAATCTGAAGATCTTCGCTACCACGATGCAACTTTTCTTCTTTCGCTTAGGTAAAGGTCAGATTTCTGAGCTCGAAACTCGATTAAACTTAAAGTGAAAATAACAATATAGAAAAATTATTACATCCCCTTAGAGCGATATAGCAAAGTGTCTCCTATTAGTGTTTCAAGTCCCAATATCTTAAGCTCCTGGTTACCGGGAATTATCGGCGTTACCGAAAAACTGGGACGCGTGTTGTGCAGTGGTCGGAGCAATACACATCGGGTTGACATCCGCGCACCGGGCCCACCGAACCGTTCAGCCCTCCGGGATCGGCAAATCGGCACCAGACTTGTCTGAGAGGATACCATCACTGGCTTGAAGGATCGATAGGCTACCGCGAGTCATTGTAAAGGTTAGATATGCATTCAATCACCTCTAATGATGCTTAATGAAGTCGAATGCATGGTGCATCCCTCAGGGATTGATCAACACCGAGAGCTTTATCCTTTTTCGTCCTTTACCTAGAAACCGGCATTGCCATGTAATGTAGGACATCTGAAGTCCATTTCTGACTAATGATTCGCTATGATGAGCCATGCATATCGTATGGAATGGGAACACGCAAGAAATACCGAAAAAGACAACGAAGTAAACGACGTGAACTCGAAAAAATTTGCAAATGAGGACAACATTACGATGTGTAGCAGTAGGGCCGCACGTCAAAGACACTTCTATGACTCCGTTACGTTCTCAATCCTTAGGTTCCACTAGTTATGGAAAAATTATCTTCGATTGTTAGAAAACCAGTATTGTCCAGCACTTGAGGTTTCTTAATGCATCCGAGTTCTGCCGTAACTGCGTCCCCGACTTGACGTGATGAGCGGCAGCCACGCAGTTTTCAACGTCGGTGGTAACGTGATAAAACTCGAAGAAGATCGTATTAGTGTGTATTCACTGAATATTTACACAACCTCGCCGAAATGAACGAAATACCAATAGTTCCCGCTCTACGTACCGTTCTCCGTCCTAGTAGGGCGAACTTCCGAGTGGTGATGAGGCATTCTTCTTTGTCATTCACTTTCGTGTTCGTGGATTTTAGCCCAAAATGACTCAAGAGTGGGCGTTCCTCATTATCGTGCTCGGTTTGACATTCACCTTAAAACCTTTACGCTTACGCTTTTGCGTCCATTATGTACCTGATGTAGCAGTTTATCTAAGTTTAGGTTTCCAATCTCAGTACCTGGATTTCCCCATCTTTCTGAATTACGAAGAATCACGCCAGTCTCTTCTCCTGGAGTCTTGAATGGCATCTTAGCCCATATCTAGGTCATCAGCACTTACACTACCAGCATTACAGAAATGCCAGTGTTCCTTGGCACTGATTTAATCTTAACTGGTCATCTAAATGGAAAAATCAGATTAATTCTCAACCTAAGAGACTCTAGTTCGATGTGAATCTGTTGGACATTGCAGTTCTACATCCTGACGTACTTTCCTCCAAACTCCCCACTATAGACAATCTGGGCAATTTTGCATCTGCGTTTTTTAATTTAAATATGAAGTGGCCAGTTGTGTTAATACTAAACTGTTAATTCAGTCACCGATTCCTATTGAAAAGCCCATTTCAAGCACAGCTTAGTGGCTTAGGCGTATCTTATTGAAAATGACGAGGAAGGTCGGTTGAGATCTTAGCCGCGTTAGAATTACTGTTTTAATGTGTCACTATTTCCTATAGCTAATCGGAGTTAACCATAATTCGAATTCACTAGAGGAAGCTATTTTCGTTGCCAAGTAGGCTTATTCCTTGTTCCTTTCCTTGTCCATGCACACACTGAAAAATTCATGGTGACACAGGTCCCGAGTTAGTCCACGTTCGAGTTTTTGGACAATAGTCTCCGACAAGTGGATAGATCCCTTGCACTGAGTCATATCACACCTTATACGCTGAAGTAGTATACTATTATATTACCCTGCCCGTATTGATCCTGATGATGTAGGTCTTCAGCCTAAGTTGTACACAATTGCTTGGATACTTGGATGGTCCGTTCTCACTGGTTGTGCGGCCCCCAACATAATCACCACTTTTTCAGAGTTTTGCTAGCTTAGCCATTGTGGTTCTCCGGTGTCCTGAGATCATCCAGGCCAAAGTCTGCCCCAGGTCGTCACCACCAGAGGCAGTCGCAGCCCTTGTGGATCAGAGGGACATTTGCCACCATGCGACTAGTTTGGTGCCTGGACGGTGACGAATCCTGGTATTGGTTCACTCTTAGCTGGGCTTCATGATGGAAACGCCGGACTCCTTTCCAGCTTGGGAGACCTTGCCAGGGGATGGATCCACCCGCTGTACATCGTAGTCCAACACTTAAGAACACCTCCAAGCCACGATGAGGCGGTAAACCGTTGGGAGAAGTTGTACACAATTAAAGGGTCAAATTCGTTTTTTTCCCACTGGAAAGGTTATTTCATTGGCCGTCTCAGAATCTCTAAAGATTTCACTCAGCATTCTGTGATCCAACCATCCTTCCTCTTTGAGCTCACCAAACTCATTTAGCGCTACGATATTTCACTTAACGGATGTCTTCTGTCTACACATTGTTTATTGTTCGCTGTTCATAAGTTTTGTTGTTGGTTCAAATTTCAAGGTTGCTTACGCCATAAGGTCAAGCTCTTTCACTTTGAGTTCTTAAGAATTAGGTTCATGTCGTTGTCTCGTTCGAAGTCTGCCAGTCAAGTCGCCGCATCTTTCCATTTAGGATCGATGCTATTTCGGTCAACCTAGGAGCATTATGTCTACGGGATCTTTAAAGCTTTCCATCAATCTGAGTCGTGGAGTATCCTCAACATCTGAAAGCAATGAAGTTATCAATTTTAAAAAAGAAGAAAAGGAAGACGATATTATTTGTGGTTAGTTAATGTCGCAAGATTGGCTTTCTCCTAATCGAAATAATATCAGACGTGTTCCGTAGTGAGCCGTATAAGATAGCGCTTTTAGAATCTGACCTCGGAAGTGGCCAAGACATGCCGAATCTGCTCAACGTGAACATTCCAACTGGCACGAAAGCTCGGAAAAGGAAACACATCCAGTTCGTGATCTTATAGTCTTTGTCTCCAGCATTCGATCTGGGCGAATTCTTGTTTTCTTGTTGCGGGCTAATAATAACCAAGAATACCAATGAAAACGTTTCGCCTTTACCCCATAGCAAAGATTATCTCGATTGAAACTAAAGGGATAAGGGATTTCAGAACCAACTTTGACAACTCGCTGTTGAACGAGTCAGCGATGGATGCTCAGCGGAAAGAGAAGGCCCGATTGGAACGACTTGAAAGGCAGAAAAGAACACTGGGAAAGAATGACCACATTCAACAAGTGGGTTTCGTTGTTGCATATATTTAAGCTCATTCTATTCTGGATGTTTAGGTTGCAGCGGTATTGCCTAGGTCAGTCACCCCTCTTCCTGTGCTTGATGCTTTTGATCCGGAAGTGATTTGTTTGGTAAGCACTGTTAACGCATTTACTTCTTTTGGTGTTATTTTGCTACCAGCGATAGTTCTGTGTTGTGTTCTTATTTTCTTGTTTTTAAATGCGACCCATTTATTCAACTTTGAAGATTGGTGATAGCTCAGACGAGTGTGTGGACTCCAAGAGAAATTTGTCCTCTTTAGATGGTATATGCAGTTCACTTCCGTCTGTTTCAAAAGTAGAACCAGAGGTACAGAAGCTTTTGTTTGTTGTTTCTTGTCATTATTTTAATGGTATATGTCTTATAGTCAACTTTGACTAGTGCTCACTAACTTTTATTGGGCGCGTGTGGTTGGAGGCGCCATGCAATGCACATGGGATCGATTTCGTTCCTCTGGCCCACTAAACCTTCCATTCTTCCGGGTTCGGCAAATTGGTGCCGGACTTGTATGGGAGGATAGCAGCACTGGCCCAATACATAGGTTGGCCCGCCGTGAGTCATTGTAAAGGCCATATATGCATTCAGTCACATCTAAACGATGCTTAATGAAGTTTAATGCATGGACCATCATTCAGGGATAAATTAACGCCGAGAGCTTTAGAGCTTTATCCTATGTTCAACTTTAACTAGTGCTAACGAACTCATTTCTCACATACTTTGATCCCGATTGTTATTTGATTAACATATGGTTATCCTGAAAACTATTGCTTTTCCATACGATCTAGGTGATCGAGCTTTCAAGTGGCGATGAGGACGAAAGGTACAACAGCACTGATGATAGCCGTATCGCTCCTTACCGAGTTCTGCCGAGGCTTCCCTTCAGTTACGACTACGGTATATTTTATATAGTGGTTTTCTACACCCTACTAGCACTTTTCTTTCTGATAACTCAGTTTAGTATTTACAGGTAAACGATCGAGATGGTCGTATTCAGAACGTGAAAGGGTGCGTTTCTTTTTGTGACCAGTAGCTTCTCCATATTCTTGTCTTTATAAGAATATTTTCACCTCTACAGATTGGTCATGAAAAAATGGAGAAGCAGCACAGAATAGAGAAGCAGCGGATGAGGAAAAGAAGGAATTTCCACGACTTGGAGAAAATTGAGCTAACGACAACCGGTCGTCTACTCGTAAATGCCGGTCAGTTTGTGGAATAATCTAGTGCTGTCCATTGCTTGCTTTTTAACAAATATATTTTAACTGAGTAACATTGATAAAGTTGAAGGCGACCTTTGTTAACTTGACAGAAATTTTTGTAGTCCGGCTATTGTGTATGCAAGTCATGAGCAGGAAATGCTTTAGCCAAGAAAGGTGTTCTGTAATAACAGAAGTGAAGTATAAATCTTAAGCTTTCGTGTTGAGGACATGGTCCTGAGGACCCAGATGTGCATGTATGTCCTCATCTAACTCATATTCTTCAACCTCATCAGCTGGGTGGAGTTCGTTTCATGTGAGTTCTTCCTGAGTTCTAAAATTGTAAACACTTATTGATTGATCTTATAGGTACGATAACATCGTTGAGTCGTTGAGCGAGTTCAAAACGTCACGAGGATTTGGATGTATTTTGGCACATAGTATGGGATTAGGAAAAACTATTCAGGTAGTGAACATATTTCATTTTATGTGATCTTCGAAGTCTGTTGCCACACCTGGGAGGTATTCCTAGGTGTCGGACTGTGGTGCACAGGGAGTGGGATTCATCTCCTAAGCAGAGCCCGCCAGGCTGATAAGGAATTCATCGTTTCCATCAGGACGCCCCACTGAGAGTAAAACGCTATCAGTATTTACCACCGTTCTGATACATAGCTAGTCGCATGGTGGCAAATCTCCTTTTGATCCACAAGAGCGGCGACTGCCTGTTGTGCTGACGGCCTGAGGCAGACTTTGGCTAGGTTGACCTGGGGACTTCAGGGAACCACAATGGCCAAACCAGTAAAGTTCCGAAAAAATGGAAATTGTACTGGAGTCCGCACAACCCGCACGAGTCATCCAAGTACCTTCTGTTGCCACACAACTTGGTGTATGTGTCATTTGGAGAGTTTAGAGGCTAGTTTTGTGCTCACGTTAGTTACAGGGTTAAACTGTAGTTGGTGTACAACTTAGTGCGATATTTATTCGCTTACTGAAGTTACAGCTAGGATAAGAATGTCGCCCAATATACCGATACCGTGTATTGTTGTCAATTTTATTGTTATCAAATTTCGGTTATGGAAAAAATGATAGTGATTCTCTTCGTTTTTCATGCCGAAAGCCTACTAATTTGTCAAAAATATCATTTAATGTTCACTTTTAGTACTGTTATTCCTTCACTTCAGGTTATCACCTTTGTAGAAATCTTTCTGCGGGTTACGCAGGCTAAGAAGGTTCTTATTATTGTGCCTGTAAATACAATCCAGAATTGGATGAATGAATTCGAGAAATGGACACCAAGGTGAAGTCATTCCCACTTGGACTTAATGAATTTTGTCTCTTGTTTAAATATTTACCTCATTTTTAGGTATTTGGAAACTGGAGGTTATGGTCGTCAGTTTGAGGTATTTCTTCTTGGAGACTCTGTGAAAACGTTTGATCAGCGGGTAAACATAATTGGTATGGTTTCCAATCCGTTTAACAACCACAAAACAATCGTTTTTACCTCCAAACGATGCTTGATGAAGTCGAATGCATGGCGCATCCCTCAGGGATTAATCAATCCCAAGAGCTTTATCCTTAATTTTTTTACGGTTTTCAAGAACAAGGTTGCTATATAAATGGAGATAGGTGGTAAAATTCGAGTACATGAAATGGTCGTCTTTTCTACCACTGGATTTTGAATGGATTTGGATTCATGTATTTGGTTGGATTTGGTTATATAATGCCATCAATGTCGTACCGCAATAGCCCATCTTATTGATTTTTAGTGTGAATACCTTGTGAACGATTGGGGGTACATACTTGTACTTGTTTTCTCGATAACTTTTCTTCCTTTAGAAGAATGGTCACGAAGGGGTGGAGTGCTTCTCGTAGGGTATGAAATGTTCCGTCAGCTGATTAGGTCTACTCAACCCAAGAGGCCTTCAAAGCTGAAAACTACTGTTATTCGTGTAAGTTGCCTATATTACTTCACCACAGTTTGGATCTTAGTGTTTTGATTTTTGCTGTGACAAAATTGTTTCGCGTGGACCCGACTAAAGTCCAGCTTTCATTAGATCTAAGTTTATCTTTCGAACAATGGAAGAATATAATCGTTTGATCGCATTAAGCTAACGTTTCTGGTTCGTGATCACCGATAGAGTTTGAAGCACCAGAAAATTATAACGGAACTATCATTCCAATTGAAAATAGTCACGAACTCTAAGTATTTTGAAGGTAAACACGTGGTTTGGAAATACAAACGAAAACTTATTTCTCCGATGAAGAAATATTTAATCACTAGGCAATTATTATTAGGTTGTTCAAAAATAAATAAGCGTTTTAAAGTATTTGTTGTGTCGACGTATTTTTATTAATCAGTTATTCTTTGTACCTTGCAATACTATATATCGTTAGAAAAATTTGCTTCCAGAACTCCAGAATTTTATGCAAATACAATAAATAAACTTGTTTCTCATGTTTCTCGTTGGCAAAAATGTGTAGATTCAAGTGGTTTCTATTTTAATTAATGAAATTTTGTTTGATGCAAGCTATGACATTCCATATAATGTAGTTTAAAACGTTCATTGATTTCTGAACAACCTAATAGCTTGAAGGAAAGCTTTTGCAACCAGGCAAAATTGTTCTTGAAAATGGAGCAGTAACTAGCGGGTTTCCACAGTAGGCTTCATTGCTCTGATAGCACAAAAACAAAAAGCCTATAACCTAAAATTTAGCTGCACAGTCTACATAAAACATGCATTCGATGTAACTAACAGTTCTTACGTTTACAGCTTCTCCCTGAAATCTACAGTCTGTCTGACCCAAGACTTTTTTAGTTAAAATTTTGCCTGTTATTGCCTGTGCCTGTTATTGAAGCATTGTAGGCAGAAGTATTTGTTTCGTTGCCTATATCTAATGTCTGCTTGAATCCCATACCAGTCTCGAATTCTCACAAGTACTTTGTGACAAAAGAGATATCTCATTCTTCATTTTTCTGGAGTTATTTTCAACGCATGACTAACTGGGACGCGGCCATGGGTTATCTGTTTTAGAATTCAAACCTGAGCAAGCTTAGATTTTCCAAAAATTCTAAAATTCTTTCCCGCGACCGACTTTTTTTAACGAGTAGATGCAGTGTTGTTATAACAGTATCTGTTTCACAATAGTCAGTGTTTCGGTGAATTTCGTTTTCTTCAGTGTTTGGGAAGAGTCACGTGGATACGCAATCTATTAAACCAAATGCTTTCATTCCTCTAACAAAAACTCAAAATCTAAACTTCATTCGCAAAAGGAGCAACTTTCTTAAGCACTCGCCCTTTTTATGTTTTCCACTTGTTAAGGGAGTTCAACTGCACAGAGTCTTACTTGGGTGAGGAATGCCTGTGTCAGCTCTAAAAATCAACCTGAGATATGGAAACAGTCGCGCTTGATTACAAGGCACTTCTTCCCTTAATTGATCTCCAAGTCTTTAGAATTTATCGAGAATACCGGAAGAGTTTTGCTCGCTGATGTTTTGGATTCGTATTAGAGGATTATGACTTTTGTTTCGAAATATCCGGCAGCCTGTTTGTTGTATGCGTACTTAGTGGATATTTTGTCCTGAGTTCTTCTATACCGATACACTATTTTATTCTTCTTGCTAATGTATTCGTCCCCACACGCTTCACTAGTGATTAGGCATACCGTACCCGAACGCATGCAATCACCATCTCTATCGCCAGACGAGATAATGCAATTTTGCGTTGTACATAGATGGTCATGCAAGCAATTGCTAACTAACTGACGACGCAGTGTTCGGTGGATATTTCAGTCACCGCTGCCTTCGTTGTAAATAAAGAAAAATAACGGTTTCTTATTCTCACTAGATCCATCGTGTAGGGGCGTCCTTTTTCTTCTACATGTCCCATGATGCTCTTGTTTCATAGTCTTAGTTAAACGTTATCTGTAGCGTATAACTGCGTGATTCCTCCTTCTCCACACTTTGGTGCTGTTCGCAATGTGTTTCTCACAAAGGTTCTCTTTGTGTGTGTGGTGAGCTAGGAGCTGATGGACCAGTATTTCTTTGTTCATTAATATTGGTTCAACTCCATAGTGTAGCCGTTTCCAGATAATTTGGGTGTCGAAAAATAGAAACCAGTTTTTTTTTTGGATTTCCTAGGTGATTTTCCTTTGCACTTCAACAGTTCATTCTACAACTCGAAGCATCTCTCCATGTACGGTTTGAAATTGCACGATTTTGCCTAACTGAACAGTCGGTGTTTGTACGAGTGCACCTGATCTCTTGTAAAGCGCATCTGGACGAATAAATTGGCAAAACAGGTAGACAACACTTTGTCTATATAAAAGAGCACCTAGATAGAAAACTGAAGGTCAAACAGTACAGTCTAACTAGTCAAGTCAGCAGAGGACTCAGTTGCATAGTGGGCATTATTCTCAATTCGGCAATGCACCTAAGAAGTATAACGAAACTGGGTGGTGGAATTCCGGTATTAATATAGGTCTTTTCAGACGAAGCCTATGGAAAGTGACGAAAAACCCGATGATTTCGATCAGGGGTTAACTGCAAATGGTCGAATCAGGAAAGAGGCGAACGAAAGTGAGTCTTTCTCAGGCCTACAATTGAAGTGTCATAAAAATGTTTGTAGTCATTCGTGGGGCATTAGTTGATCCTGGACCTGATATGGTGGTTTGTGATGAAGGTCACAAAATCAAGAACCTAAATACGGATATAGCCGCAGCGCTAGGTGCCATTCATACGAAGTGGGTTTCTTAAGACTTTGTTTTTTGATTGTACAATTATGTAATGAAAACTGTTAGGATATTTAGGCGTCGCATTGTGCTAACAGGTTATCCACTGCAAAACAATTTAATGGAGTATTATTGCATGGTTGACTTCGTCCGACCAGATTTCCTTGGGTCAAAAAAGACTTTTTCGATCCAGTTTGAGCGCCCCATAAAAAACGGCCAATGTATCGATTCCACTGCGAGTAAGTTATTGTTTTAATGATTATTCTTTCTCTCTAAAAGTTTATTGTATGTGTAAATAATTTAGTGAACTAGTGGAAGTATCACATTGTTCGTGTTTTTTCCAAAACCTTGCTTGGATATCTCTATTGTCTCCATCAATTTTCGAAATGTAATTCCGATCGGGTTTTCTAACAATTCTAATCACTAGTATTGGACTACTTGTGCAGAGTTTCTTTCCTAAATTTTTAGGAGACGTCAAAATCGCTCGTCAGCGGATTCATGTCTTAAACAACATGCTCAAAGGCTTCATCCAGAGGTGAGGAAAGGAATAAGTCATAGTATCTAACGCGCATTGTTTTTGTATTATATTAGTACTGTTTGTTTATAGTAGTGTGTATTCGTAGTGTTATTTGTATTGCATTATTCTCGTACATTCCTCATTATTATTATACAATATGAGGGCGCTTGTAGTGCAGTGCTAAGCGCCATGCAATACACGCATGGGATCGATCCCACGCTCTTTTCTCACCAAGCCCTCCATCCCTCCGTCGTCGGAAAATTGCTACCAGACTTGTCTGGAAGGATGCTAGCACTGGCTCGATACATCGGTAGGCCACCGCGAGGTATTGTAAAGGCCAAATATGTATTCAATCACCTCCAACGATGCTTAATGAAGTTCAATGCATAGCGCATCCCTCAGGGAATGATCAACGCCGAGAGCAGCAGACAGCTGCCATATGTTGTTTTGTATTGTATTAGGGATGGATGGCAAGTTTTTGTTTCTTGTGTTTTTAGAAAGAAGGGTAAAGCTTTATCTTTTTCTTTTTATAGGAGAACTCATCATCTCCTTAAAGCAATTTTACCAGAAGCGAAAGAATTTGTCCTTCTTCTACGTAAAAGTCCATTGCAACATGTTTTATACAGGTATCGTATCATTTTGAGTTTCTATTTTACGTTTATGTAGAACTTTGCATATATTTTGGATTCAGGAACTTCGTAATGTATGCCAATGCGGAGATCAGCTCTGGGAATTCCTCCGTTTTCAACCCATTGAAAGCGTTCGCTGCTTGTTCAAAGGTTTCTGTTACTGTTTGTAATTCTCCTAAGTAATTGTTTCTCTGCTGCGATGACAATTTTGCTACGGCAGCATGTAACCAAAGAAAAAAGAAATGTAAAGAAATGCTTCATAGATTCGATTGTAGATATGGAATCATCCCGATGTCCTTGCACAGACCTTGGAAAGAAAACGGGAGGAAAAGAAGAAGTCCTGTAAAAACGATGTAAGTTTTCTATTGTTTAATGGCACTAGCGTGGTTTACGTATTGTTAAATATGGCTCGATGAAATTGTGGACTCAAATAACGCTGTTGCTTTTATCTTTTTCCCGCTCATGAAGTGTTTTTTTTTTTTCATTTTAATTTTGAACTTCGATTTTGAGCTCTCAATATTATCCATGGGTCGACTATGTATTCTTTCCGTTCTATTGGTTAGTTCAGCGTAATATAGTGGATTGGTTTCAACATAGTGCTTACGTAGTCGAATTCAATTGTACGTTTCTACTTCATCACATTGGCGACAACACGTAGATTTCTTCCTCTTACATGATAAGAATGATAGCAAGCATCACTTTATGCCGGATAGTTTGGCCAAAAACGTGTGATAAGCATGTTAAATCAACACGTCTTAGCAAATAGTAAATTTTATTGATTGGGCTAGAGGTTATTAGCGTCTATAAATTTTTACCAGCACGATGCAAGTTCTATTGTTCTGAAACCTTAGAATTCTGATTTTTTGGAACTCAGAAACCCTTTTTTTCTCATCGGAATCCGTATTTCGAGCACGGTAGTTATTGAAGAATTGACGAAACGAAATCTCGCCGGACACCGCACATTGTCCTTACTGGCAATGTTAATTTCTTTAGGCAGACATATTTAAAAGTCTTGAAGACTCAAACGGATTCAAATTTAAAGCAGCAGCAACGTATTACGAGCTGAGTTCGTTGAGCTGACTCGAAACTGGTTTCAGTTGCTGTTGGTGTCGTGATTTCATGGCTGGCGTTTCAGCAACTTTGCCTTCTTCAGAATCCGGACATATCTATATAATTCCATTCATGTAATTTCTGTGAATTATCTCTAGTACAAAGGGCGTGTGTGGCGCAGTGGTCGGAGGCGCTCTGCAGCAAACACGTGGAATAGATCCCTGCGCCCATGGTCCACAAAGCCTTCTATCGCTCCGGGGTGGGCCAACTGCAAACAGACTTGTCTGAGAGGTTAACAGTACTGGCTCGATACATCGGTAGGCCACCGCGAGTCATTGTAAAGGCCAGATATGCATCTCCTCCACACGATGCTTAGTGAAGTCGAATGCATGGCGCATCCCTCAGGGCATCAGCCGAGAGCTTTTTTATCCTTTTTATCAATGGTACTAATTAGGATCTATTATATTAATGGTCGCCACTTTGTTTAAAACTGCTCACCTTTTTGTCAGGTGGGGAAGCATTCATGTATTTTTCACGTGGAATTAATAGTGAAACCTACACAGATCAAAAAGCGAGTCTGAGAAAAGGCGCCAGATCACTTGTAGTAATGATGCACTCGTGCTTCCGTTTCATTTTTGAATTTTTGAAATTTATCCAAATCGGTTTAAGAGTTTTGCGCGTTGACGTTTTTGATTCCCGCGCTAGGATTCAAAATATTTGTCTATCTCTTCTGAATTGTGTAGTAGACTGTTAGAGTGCATAGAATTTGTGCGATAAAAACGAAACGAGAACTAGCTTCCATTCTTAAGCACCAATCAAGCTTTCAGGAAATGGCTACATCACAAAATCGCATCGAAAACCAGGTAGTAAGCATATGCTAGTGTCTGTTCTCCCATCCTTCACACATGAAGAGAAGCGCTTGTTAAAAACATACGAACGGCTAAAAATGTGTACACTTGAGAATAGGAAAGGAAGGAGAAACTTGGCTCGAAAAATAGCCAATCCCAGCTGCAGTGAAGCGGCAGAATTGGTAGAGATCAAAAGGTAAGATTATGCCTCAAAACAATCTTTCGAATCTAAGTAAGATACCTGTCATGCTACCTTTCATATCAAGTGAAATAAGTAACGCTATTAAAATGTGCTTAAGAAGAAGTTGTTATAAAAATTCTATGGTAGTTATTGACCTCCCACACAATACCATACGCCATCAATTTGTCTGCAACCGCCTATATGAGATCGTTTGTGTAAATCGGAAAATTGTCTGATTTGCTCTAACGGGAGGGACGGAGATCGCATACGTTCAGATACAGTATACTTAGTCTCATAGGGCATGCGATGAAGAATACATTGGCTAAACGGATAGATCACCTTTTGTCCGCATAAAAGAACATCTTCGTGGTAAACTTAAAATCCTTTAAAGTACTAGACAAAGTGACGTTTAATTTGTATAATAGGTGTTCATTAATGCTACAGATAATTCACCAATTTATAGCGATAGTGTTTTATGAAATACATCCAAACTTAGAAGAAGGCGAAATTGCCGAAACGTGGGCCGTTGAGTCAAGACAAAAGCAACAAGTAATACCAACCTTGTGTCAGCTCAACAAAAGTAGTTCTTAAGATACACTAATTTACGTACATTAATTACTAAGGCAGAGCTCTATAGAAAGTCCGTTTTTAAGGTATTACGAGAGCAAACTCTCTTCTTTGAGCAAGTTTTTAGAGCCTCCAGTGTCAACGACATCAAGAAAAATTGTCGACCTGTTTTAAAAGAGTATAGGTCATTATTAGTTAAACTAGGAAAACAAACCGCTGTCATTCTCTTTTATTAATAAAAAGCTGTCTATTGAGCTTCCAGACCAGCATTCAATGTTTATAGACGAATCATCCAAGCAGCAACGATGCCTCGTTGTTTTTGGATCAATGCACGACTCCTACCATGCAGAACTTTTCACCGTCGTCTTCGCTTTCTTACGAGCACAAGAATCTTCAACCGTCAGCAGGCGTCCATATGAGCATGTTTTTTGGAAATACACCAAATTCATGTGTTTCTGTCCCTGTTCCAAACTTTAATTCTGCCGTATCAATTGTAGATAATGTTTGGGATCGAAACAATCCAGCTAGATTGTCAACAGGTTTGTCTTGTTTTAATATCCAATACATTTGTTTCTCTTCTTTGTGATCAGTTTCTTTTCATCACATTTCTAAATTGTTTTTTTATCTCCACGGTCAATTTTTCTTTGCCTCATCATAGTACGTGATTTATTGACGAGTAACTGCTAGTCATGTGCACATCTTCAGTATGGCAGTCTCTCATTCCAAAGCTTGAATGTGGAACCATTGGATTTCTCCACTGAACTTAGCCTTTTTGTACAAGCGTTCGACATTCTTGTTGGTCACATTTAAACATCCAGAAACAATGTTTTAAGTTATATTAACCACAAATAGGTGTGCATTTGATTCCATCTTTTTTATAAGTTTCCGTCAGTTTTTGTTGAAATCTTTTTTTAGCCAACTTATTGAGGTATTTATGCCTAATTCAGAAAATTTTCTGCGCTTTACTTTTTAAACAACTGGTATCAGATCATTTTAGGATCTAATGTTCTGGAGAAGGCACAGAATGCGGCGAAACCCGCTGAGGTAATTCGGTTTAGCCACAGCGATTTGTGGGACGGTCTACTAATTGGTAACTCATCGATGGAAAACAACAATTCTGTGTTTGTTTTGACGCAATGCTTACTTGTAATTTTACAAAATTTCGATATGGAACTAGTGTTAGGCTGCAACTTTTCAAATTCAGCGACTCGAAATGTGAAGACGATTCCAATCGATCTCTTTTGAAGAGCAAACGTAGCAGTCGCAGTAAACCAAAAACTGTTCAAGGAGTGTTGGAAGAGGAATTGGAAATAACAGAGAATGACCAAGGAATCCAATATGATTGGGTAGTATTTATCAGTTTCCGAAGTTTGCTTGAGAGCTTCATGTTTCCAGTTCCAAACATTAAAATTCGTTTCCTTGCCACTCTAAAATGAGTTTATTCAGGCTGAAATTCCTATGGCCTTATATAGAAGAGGAAACATTGAAAATGGCTATAAAATGGTGATTGCAATGGAGCTGCTGGATGCTACTGTCCGAATAGGAGAGAAGATGCTCATTTTTAGGTTGAGGTCTTTACGGTTAAAAACTGCAGTATAGACCTTAAGCATGGTTGCTACCGTGTGCGTGAGTATGTGAAGAAAAATTGTAGAATTCTTGATCCTAACGCTCTGTGGTGTATGTTTTAGGTTGGTGCGGAAGTAATGGTAAATTTTGCCGTTTTTGAAATCCGTAGATTTTTTGTGGCAATTATTTTTTGCTTATACTGTTTCCGTATTCTTTTCTAAAATTCATTTCTACCTCAACGATTTGCCACGTAGCACTTTATTTTGGAACTTAATCCGCACTGATTAGACTAGTTTTGATAATGGTCTCAAAACATGAAAAGAAGATCGCATCGTTTTGCATCGTGAACTCAAATTCGGGCACCAAAAATCTAGACATGTGAGTCTTCGTCGTGGAGAAAGTGATGGTTATCCAAGAAATTGATGAACGACTAACATTTTAGGCGATAGTGGAGGCTATATTCTGATCTTATGTGAACTTCAAGTAGCCATAACTTTTTTCATACTAAATTTTGTTAATCAAAATAGGCGCTGTTGGAATTAGCACATTTTTTTCCAACAAGAAACAAGATCTTAGTGTAAAAATTGTCGGTTCTAGTGTCGATGAATTCCTTAAAGGGATTTTCAACGGTTTTTTCGTCGTTGAAGATTTTTTCTGTCAGAAAGTGATCCAGATGCTTTAAAAAAATGGAAATCCTTTGGCGACAGACCTGTCTAGTAAGGCGGATTTCGTAAAGTTTCGTAGTGCGTTTCATTCAGCTTTCTTATCGTCATTGGGAAACGTGCGGTCTTTTGTTGTTATGAAACAACAGTGGTCTTTCTCCACTGACCAATGCCGCCTGCTTGACGCGTAGTTCTCGATGCATTTCTTCGATTTCAGCATAACATTTCTCTGACGTAATCGTTTCGGCAGGTCGTTAGAATTTGCGACTAATTATACCGACCATTGACCACCAAACGGAGACCATTTTCTTCTTTGGATGCAGACTCGGTTTAGACATGTGTCGTGGGTTCTCATCGGTGTCTAGCCATTATGCAGAACTGCGACGATTCTCGTACAGTATCCACTTTTCATAGCAATTTATAATGCGGTTCAGAAATGGATCTCTATCGTTGCAAATCAGCAGAAAATTGGAAATTTTCAGACTTTGAGTTCTTTGGTTTTCATTGAGTTTGTATGGAACCCATTTGTCAATTTTTTAAACTTTACCAGTCAACAACTGTAAGTGACGTGAAATAGTCATGGCACCGACTCCAAACACTGTCACAAGTTCCCGGACCGTTTGACGTGGATTTGATTCGACTAGAGTGCGAAGCACCTCATCGTAAGCCGTACTCGTTAGCAAAGCCGTCTCCAAAGGCAGCATTGATATTCCGAGCTCCTGCTGATTATGTCCACTCTTCCACTCGTGCGATAAAGGACACGAATACCACGTTGATTCGTACTGACGTTAACGCTTTTAGAAATGTTAAAATAATAAATCTTGAGGAAAACCAGTACTAGATATAGAAAGAGCAAACTTTGTGCTTTAAAAATATGTAGTAAACATAAAGGACAAAATTTTATTCAAAATAAATTGCACGGAGAATCAAAACAATAATATCGGACATTTCAAATGTTACAACCTAATAGAATACAATGATGAATACAGATGTGCTGTTGATATCTATAGCTGTCACATCTGAATTTTTTTCGAATTTTGAAAAATTAAATTTTGTTGTTGTGCCTTTCCGACATTTTAATTCTAAACAGCTTTAAAAATGAATCAACAGTTTTGGAGAACCATTCTCACTCTTAAATAAGCAAAGTGAAGTCTCTTCTGTAAACCCATAACGATTTATACTATTCAATTTTTCCAGTTACCGAAAAATTATCAGCAATTTGCCAAAAACCAACTTCTTACTCTAGATGTTAAATTAACTTAATTGAAGCTGAACTATAAGGAACTCTTGCAATAAAAGATTTAGAATTTCTCACTAAAATGCTGTCTCTGGGAAGTCAACTGGGAAGGGCATGTCCTGCTGGAGCTAGCCTCTGCTCTCTCGTTTCATACATTGAAATGCGAAGTCGGAGGCGAAAAGTGTGGAAATGGGCGAGGTTCAGAAAACTGTTATATCAGCGTTTCTCTGGCTTGTTTCTCCGCAGGCTTTTTAACAAGCAGCTCCCACGCCTGATCCTAGAAAAGCTCTACTCTACAATTCATTGTATGCAGAAAACTACGTTTTTATGCAAATTTGTTCGATGAGGCACGGGGACTCTTTCTGGTGAATAAAGTACAAATGTATACCATATAGCAGCTGGCCTTAGTGTAACGAAAGAAGCTAATACTACGGTGTATGTGCTGCGCTATACAAGCACATGAGGCCTCACAATAAATCTGGTTGCTTTTTTCGTCAACAGGAAAAGGCCGGAACTGTAGCCAATGAGGAGGGCAAGTGGTGTCTTTTTTATTTCAATGCATTGCCCATCCGGGGAGGAACGTCTCCCAAGTGGTAGACATCGAAAATAGGCGTTCTTGCGAATGCATTGGGCTTATATTTTGTTGGGGAGCAAATGCGGATCTTAACCGTTGAATTTCAGTCAAAACCTGACCGCACTAGATCTCATCGAGAGCTACTTAAGTCGTCGTCTGCTGAAAACTGCGGCAGGAACAACATCGTGGATGAAGAATATCAATTATTTTAGTGAGATTTAAATTGGTTTTATAGAGTATTCGCTCCGATTCCCAATATAACAATAATAGTTTTTTTTTCAGGATTTGATGGGAGTACATCTGGTTCAGAACGAGAACGACTCATAAGCCGCTTCAATACAGATGCCAGCGTACATTTATTTCTGATATCAACAAGAGCTGGGTCACTTGGCATCAACTTGGTTAGAATATTAGCTTTCTATTAAGAAATTTACTGTGTGTTTCTCTTATAGACTGAATTCTACATTATAGAAGTACATATTTTGCTTTGTATTTGCTTTCGGATTCGGGTTTTTACATCATCTATGACCGATCACTCGGCCACTGCTGGTAAGGAAGGCTATTGTCGCAGGACAATCAGCATCTTTCCGACATAGTACTGTGATTGTTATGGTGAAGATCTGCCAACAATTTAGCATAGCTATCTCGGTAGTAGAATGGCGAGCAGCGATAGTAGAGCAAGCAGATATTTACACTGCCTTTTCTATTGCGCCAAACACTTCCTAGGTCCCGAAGTCATCAGCATCATATTTCCAAACCATTGTTCTTGTGTCACTGCTCAAATTGACGGTCTACTCAATGCGTTGCCGTGTGCTCCATTGAGGCCCGTAAATTTTTTCCTTTGTTATTACCGATCTATAAGGAGATATCATAAACATTCATAACCTTCTGAAGTTGTGTGGTAGTAGTCTCCTAGGTGCGATCTTGGCTCTTTTCTCTTACTTATGCAATAAGCTTTAATTTTCAACGATCTGAGACTAAAATGAAGTTCTGGGCTTCTGAGAAGTTTTGAGAAGTTCATCCTCTTCGAAGTTATAAGAAGAATTTGCAAAATAATACCTGCTTATTAATGATGTCGAGGTAAATCGAAATTCGGTCCTATGAATTGTCCATTATAGGTTGCTGCGAATAGATGCATTATATTCGATGCTTGTTGGAACCCCTGTCATGATGCTCAGGCAGTTTGTAGAATTTACAGGTCGGTTTATTATATTTAGTTTCTTATTTAGTTTACATAAAGTTCTACAGAATATAGTGTTTTGGGCTGAAAATTTCATGTATTTGTGTTCACAAGAGTCTTTTTGATTTGGTAAGAATCCTTTTTACGAATTTCATAAGGTTGTCTCAGTCCTCAAAGACATAGTATCGAGGTGACAAATCTTGCTCTGATTCTGGGAAGTCTGCTAGTGGCTATGAGTATAATGATTTTATGATACGCTAGCACAACTGTTATGGAGAAAAGCTTACCGCAATATTCGTAAAAGGGAGCTATCCGATTATCGAACAATCTTTCCAATCCATGTTTAGATATGGCCAGCAAAGGCGTACGTACATCTATAGGCTGATTATGAATAACTGCATGGAGAAAGCAATCTTTAATAGACAAATTAGCAAGCATGGGCTTCAACGTTAGTTTCTAATTATTGTGATCGTGTTATCCTTGCTTTCAAACCTTCATCTAGAACGTGTTGTCGATGATGCACAAGTTGACGCTAATATAACCCAGAAGGAGTTAGAAACCTTGTTAATGTACGACGTAAGTTTTTTTACTGTTATCGTTCTCTATGTAAAGTATGCAGACTAACAAGTAGTTTGTGAATTTATGGTTGTTCAACTTATGTTCCTACTATGTGTTAAATATCACAGCTGAATAAGTTGAATGCTGGATTTTGAACATTACAAATTACGGTTGTCTTTCTTACTGATCACTAATGTGGATTAAGTGAAACCTTCTAGAGGTAAACATACCTAGAGGAGAATTATCTTTCGTTTTTTTTTTGTTGCATATGAGTATAAACAAAACCTAAATGGGCAAAACACAAACAACTTGCGAATTAGGAAAAAATTTTGAAACGTCAAACCTAATTAATTAAGGTTTAGACAATTGTTGACATTCTTGTGGAGGAAGCACGAGGTGCTACTTTATTCTTTTTCCCGGTAAAACTGCCGTTTCGGCAGTATCGCCTTCTTAAGATCCCAGAAGGGTATATTGATATGTAATTTACTACGCCAAACGCTTCAATAACACCGGAAAATGGATAAAAATATATATGGCAATCAAACGATCAACACCTCGAACATCCTACCGTTTCTAGGTGCCCTCAGCTGAGGGAGACCGCTGATTAGAGTTACTTTACGGGTGCGTTTTTGAGAAGCTGTTAATCGTGTAATTGCTATGTAGATTTTTATCCCTTTGTCCGTGTTATTGAAGCGTTTGCCATAATAAATTCATTATCAAAAAATTATATCCTTCCAGGTTGTGAAGGAGGCGGTATTGCCGGAACGTAAGCTTCATTGGAGTAAAGAATGAGGTAACAAATCGTGTTCACCCAACAAGAATGTCGAAAATTATTTGATGCCGAGGTTAATAGAAAGTCGGTCATGGGAAAGTTTAGATATTCAGAGGGTAGTTATCAGTATTATCTCTGATGAGAAATTTTTGGGAGGACAATATATTTTATATTTATATAAATATATATGTATATATATACATATATATATACGAAACATTAAGGACTCATTCCCTTCTTTTTAAGTATATTACTGCTAAAATGCTTACGTACAAAACAGTACTGATGTATTGACTGACATATTTGTGATTATTAACTGCTTTCACCTTTACTTTTTTACTCCAAAGCATTTGTGTGCCAGCAACACTTTTAACACGTACTTATGAACAATTAAGGAATCGTTAGATGTTGTTTCTGGTAAATGGGATACATCAGGGTGGAACTTCGGCGATGAAGTATTGGAATCTGTGGTGAAAAGTAGGAGCGAAATGCTGGCTGAGGTTGTTTGTTTTTCCGACTTCTAGACAGTCGATATTGTTTCAAAGATCTTATTGTTAGGAGCCATTCCTTCATGAAACGTTAATGCTTGAGAGGGAAGAAGGTTTAAGCGAGGAAGAGAAAAAGGAGGCGGAATTATGGTTCGCAAAGGAACAGTGCAACGTTGTAAGAAAACATATTTTCATCCATATTTTAGTGCTTGCTTGTTTTTTTCCTTCTTTGATATTCTTTATTTACATAGACTAATCTCAAACTATGCGTTGTCATATCAGGAAACATCATTGCCCAATTCTGAACAACACAGTGCTGGAAATTCCAGGATCCCCAAAGATCGGGCACGTTGGTTGGCACCTCCACCATATTTCAAGTAAATTTATCTTGTTTAGCGTACGCAACATCTTTTTTTACTTTCCTAACCCTTTTATTTACTGCCTTTTTCTTTTTAATGGCAGGGTATGTTGCGAAATATAACTCGTATATAATGCTGAGATTTTTCCAAAACTCCGGACCGCAGGTGTATGCGGTGGGGAACGAACACGCGCTGTTGTCCTTACCGGGGAGCAGCGGACTTCACCAACGCACCATCCGCGTCCTTCGTTTTGTCTGTCTCTCAGCTAGTTCTATCGATCTTTTTGCCATCAGCAATCACCCGCCAATCACCCGTTTTGCAAATATCTCAGCATTATATGCGAGTTTTTTACTTTGTTTTTTCTTTGTGCTAATAACGACCGCTCCAGTTTGGTTGTTACGTGTCCGCGTGTTCACCCATTGGTTGTGGAATGAATCCAGCGGCCAAAAACCAATCTCAATCCCATCACCAAAATCCTTCATATGTCCCTCTCAGGTTTAACTGCTTTTCAGTAGGTTCAGCAAAGTAGCTCGAGGAGCATAATGTTTTCGTCTAAGATCTTCATAGCGAAATATGATCATCAAATGGGATATCTCCATGGTATACGTTTGATATGATACCCACCAGGTTGTAGCTCGTGACAACCACTTTTATTATACCGTGTCGTATATCCAATATACATGATTTTAGACGTTTGAAAGAATATGATGTTTCATTTGATAGGTTATAGTCGACAGAAATCGACCGATTCCTCTTTGCTTAATTTTACCTTAACACTATTCTCTCGATGTAACGTTCGATAACGATCATTGGTTGTTCCTCCTCCTTAGCTCATTGAGGAGGAGCTAAGCCATTCATTATAGTGACTTGCTGATCCAAATACGCATGGCTAGAACATTAAGATTTATCAGGTTTTTTGAATATGATTAGGCGTATCGATAACAAATTCGTCTCTCATGTACATCTTTTTAAAATTTTTTCTACCAAATATACCATCGCAAGCATCCATTTTCAGTGTTTGATTTTGTGAAGGTGATGTCATGTTCAAAAAAGCTGATGTGATGCCGGAAAATTTCCACCATCGTGTTGTCCCATTGTTTATTTAGTATTACGCTGTCACGAGTGGCGCCGAATTTCTTGGCCCAGTATATAGCCTCCTTGATGCCATTCATCTACATCGATAGTAATGTTCTTGAAAGAGGAATTCTTGTTATGAAATTCTGGTCAGCTTATCAGTGTTTGTCGTATAAGCTAATTATTTGTTCTATCTTTATACAATGCTTCTGTTGTCACCTCTCATCGAAATCAAAGAGTTTCGAGTAGGTAGCAATGTGGTATACGTTTCTATGTCCACTTGGTGGCATTTTTTTTTTTTTGAAAACTATTATTACGTGACCAGACATCGCATACGGATTTCGGCAATTCTTTCATTCGATTCATTCTCTTCACATCCATCTTCACATCCATCATCCACGATGTCCTTTGGATTTTTTCGTGCTTTAAACATCAGCTAGAAGATTTGGTTTCCTTTATGAAAGTTCATCAAAGCTATGTATCGATACTGCGTTCTCACGAAACGCGCCCATCACTGCTGATTACCAAACCATCGCCACAAGGAGCAGTGACACTTTGTAATGTTGGTTTGTTAGCACGAGTTACTTAGGATTTCAAGGAAAAAGTCATTCCGTGCTCACACAGGACATCAGTTAATTGGACAATGTGCTGCTGCTCACGCGGTATTTAATGAACATGATTCACTCAAATATTCTTTTAAGTATATAGTGTAGAGAACGTGTAGTACATTGGTTAATGGGCTCTGCAATGCATATGGTTGTTTCTTGTACTAACCAAGCGTTACATCCCTATAGAGTCGAAAAATTGACATCACATAATTCTCTATATTCTTATTGAGGTAGTATGATGTGTTACTTTATCCTCTGTTGTAGGAAAGTTGACGTTTCAGCGATTTCGCCTTCATCAGAACGCACTACTCTCCTCCAAAGGCGATGCTCCAAGTATTGAGCACAGTAGTGTTGTTTCATCGCGCACTTCAACTTGGCGTACATCTTGTTTTGTTTGTTTCGTAGATGGGCGCGTAAATAGCAAGATACCATCTACTGCCTTCTTCCTACCTGTAGAAGGAGCACTATCTTTAAGACTATAGGTCGTCTTAGCTCGACGGACAATACACTTTTTCCTCCAGGGTGTACAACACCAAGTCGTAACGGGCTTCATCCAAAGAAGACGAGCACATTATTTTTGTGGACTACCATAGAGGAGACTGAGTACTGAACATCGCAATGCGAATTATACGCGCCTATTTACAAACCAGACAAGACAATATGTTCGCCAAGTTGAAGAATTGTGTGACAAAAGAACGTCATTGTATTCAGTATTTGGAGGATCGCCTTTGCAGGACAGTAGTAGGCTTTGAAAAAAGTAACACCCAGCATTTGCTCAGCAAGAATATGAAGAACTATTTGATCAATGCCGAGGTTAACAGAAAGTCGGTCGTGTGGACTGATGTCATATTTGTCTTGAAGGGTAGAATCGCTGACTAGATACTTTGTTAAGCAACTGGATGTCATCATGTAGGCCGAACATGTGCGCAATCATGTTTGATGTTTGATGGAGTTGAATGCATAGCGCATTCCTAAAGAATTGACCAATACCGCACGTTTAATCTTTTGTATTAGGTCTCTTGGAAATTAATGTCGTGTTTCATTCTGTGTTGTGAATGTAGCCTATCTCGTCTGGTAATAAATTTCATTAATCGAAATAAGCACCATTGGATTCCACATTTTTGCTAACGAAAAACTTTACTTAAACTGGTTACTTAAGATCCTGACTTTCTGGAGGTGTTCAAATCGTTGAAGGCATTTTCGACCCCCGCTCGATTCTTGAAGGGTTTATCCCAGGGGAAATTATCTAAATGACTGAAGAAGTAGTACCCGATAGGAAGGAGGTATATTGAGTATGGTGGATCCCGTTTATAGTATAGAATCTATTTCTCTTCTTGCATCGCAACACGATCGAGAAAGATGTCGTTGCGGCTGCGCAGAGGAATCGCCAACGATGCCTCAGAAGGACGGTTTTATTGGTTGTCATTCAATTTGTGCGACACCTATCTGTAGAGTTTCTTTGAGTTTGCAATTTTCTTGAGATGCTTCGAAACAGTTGAGACGCTAACACAGAGTTCTTCTGCAAGTTTTTGAAGAGTTGTGCATGTATTTGCCTATAGAGAAGCCTTTAGTTCATCGTTATTAATAGAATTACGTCCGCGGCATGTATCTTCTTCAGGGACGAAAACTACACTGCAAAATTTATACAATTTATATAGTTGCATCGTGCATTCGTTGTCACTTTCTCGGCCCAAATATGCGTAGACCCTAGTTTGAATTCAAAGTAAATTTCTTTGATATTACTATTCTGACATCTGAAATTCTAACCTTTGAAATTTTTAACAACACTGTTTATTTTATAATTCAACTGTACGGAGCGAAAATGCATGAAATGAACATTACAGTGATATATAGTGGGACCCCATGACAACTATTTCCGAAAAACGTGCAAGAAAAATGAGGTTGCAAATCTTACATTATTTTCCGAAAGACTTTGTATTTGTACCATGGTGGACCATTCCTACAATTTTGTATGTTTTACTCGACGATATCAAGCGTTAAATACATTCAAAATGATGCTACTGATATTTGTAAAACTCGAATTCTTAGGCCAACTTCGACCGCGCGGTTACTCTCTTTCCGGGATTCACATGGTACCCACTGCATCAACGAGGCGCTTGCATTACCTTTTTGTCAGCCATTTTTTACTCAAACGGTGCAGTCAATAATCACTCGTCAACGGAATTGATCTTTGAAGCACAAATCTATATAGAATCCAATTAAGCTGGAGCCGCAGTTGAAATAGCATTGTTTGACCTTCTATTTGCTGATTATTATTTAATTGCTTATTTGAAATTAAATATTGCGTTTTTGTTTTCAGTACCATGATTGACGCTCCTCCTCTACGCTCGACACCTATTCCTCATATGATAGACCGCATTCCGGAACAGTCATTTGGGTATCGACCATTCTTTAATTCATGATTGCGTGTTCTTCTAGTGTTGCCTTTCTTTTCTTTTCTTTTGTGTCTTTACTTTTAGTGGTCGCTTTGGCTCACACTTTGGCTACGATTCTGAGGCAGACAGTGGGGTGCATATCACTAACTACCGAGGAATGTGTGAGTTGATTTTCTGATATGTGTTGGCTTTCCAGAGATGTCTTTCGTTTACTTCTCCAAATACTATATGTTCTGTACTGTTTATGCGGTGAAATATCAGTTTCTTTGTAATTTCAGTGTCAAGAAAGAGTCATGTTGATCGCATGAATGATATCCCTATCCGCATACCTCCTTTTCCTGGTGCTGCTGTCGCATATGAGCCATCGTCCAATAGCAGAGGTAGTGTGCAACTCATTACCACAGATCGATGTAAGTTATCTACTCTCATTTTGTCTTGTCAATTACTTGGAGTTAAGCAACTTCATCCAAAAAAATGCTGAAATTTTTATAGCTCTGAGTTTACCCATTGTTTCACATCCATCCGAAAGTTGTGAAGTACCCGCTAATACCCAAGCTCTGCTTGTGCGCACTGCAGACGGAGTGTTTTTGCGTCTCAATAATGGGCTGCTTCTGGACGCTCAAAATACAGTATTCGATTCATGTATGTTAATAGTTACATCTCTTTCATTATCCTATAAAATATTATCGTGTTCAGCTAATAAACGTCCACTTACAATCGCTCTCGATCCTCCAGAACGACTTCGACTTCCTGCTCCTTTGAAGATAGTTCCAGACGTAATTGAGTTGGATTAGTATTGATCACAATCATGACCAGATCATTCCGACGTTCTTGCAATCATTTATGATCGTTCTTGTTTACAGTTGTTTTTCTATAATTCTTTTACGGGTGCATCAAGCTGTGCATTTTTTCTTTATTACAATGGACGAAATTTACTGATGACTCTTGTATCCAAAAGCTTAGATGGAGACGATTTCCCTTTAAGCGATGTGTGAAGTGTGCTTTATCAAGATGACCTGTAATGGCGAAATATTACTAAACACTGTAAAGCTTTAAAGGTCCTTCACTCACATTGAGAGTATCTAGTCAGTCCACTAAATTTTTCTCGTTTGATCTGATATTATATATTTTTCCAATATAAATATTTGTGTTGTAGGCCCCAGCAAGTCTACTGCTGACTTTTTACTAATGGTTTTGGTGGTTATACCAGCGTAAATAGGTCTTCAACATCATAAATATTCCACTTGAATGCTGCTATCATTACAAAAGTTTTAGTAATATGAGTATTTGCTGAATTCTAGTCAATTTAGCAGAGTTGTCGCGGTGATTTTGTCGAGAACCGTTGAGGACCTTGAACAATATACAATATTGCCTTATCTCGTTAGCGGTATGCTTATTTCTTCTGAAATGCTGTTTCCATTTCAAACACGTTCAATTTCAAGGAATTCTAAAAGCATTCAATTTTCTTCCAAGTTCCGATGCAAGAGGTGCGGTTGCAAACAGCGATAATGCATTCGGTAATATCGTCTGGCCACCCTGGATGGGATCCTCATTGTTCATTCGTTTCCGTCATTGGAAATATGAGCTCCGACAGGAAAACATGGAGATAGAGCAGTTGTGGGGTTCAGAACACTAGAATTTTACCTGGGAAGAGTGACGACTTCGTGTTAACGTTGAAAATGCCTGTAAATCCAAAGATTTCTCATTTAGCTGGTAAAGTTCATTGTGAGCTGAGAGGTGTTCAGTTATTTTCGGCTACGTATGAGTTGTGGATCGAAATAGAATTGTTTATAGTTTTGCTCAGTCACATTGTAAAGCATAATGGCAGCCCACTATCTCTAGCATTTAGGTATAAGATCTTATAGCAATTTTCTGATCTGCATCATTTTTCGATCACTTAGGGATTCCTGACATTGAGAATGACTGGACTTCCCATAGTGCGGTTTAAACTCTGTTTTAGAAGAAGCATCGATTATTACACTGGGAAATTGTGTTTCAGGAGGTATGGTGTGAGTTATTTAATGAGAACGAGTGGAAATTGGTACTTCAGAAGAAATAAAACCTCTTGTATTAGTAAAAACCTAACAAATGAACGAGGCAAAAGAGAAGCAACTAGGACGAATGAGATGATTTCTGTGTTTTAGAAACCTGTGATGGATCAGTAAATTCTGCTTTTAGAGATCATTCTTTAGATGTGATTTTCACGTTTTAACACTTTCGTTGCCAAGCCGGTTTTTCGATAAATACCGTTAATTTCTTAATCACTAGAGTGTTTCAGGAGCTCGCCACTTCATAGATTAATAGAGACTGCTCTATCTCATCAGTCCAATGTTGTGCCATTCTCCAAGTTATACAATTTTATACAGCTTAATTTCAAGTTTAGATATGTTTAGAATCGAAACCTTAAAAAAGTGCAACATTGAGATCTAGGTCTTCGAAAATTTACGGCAAAGGGTGATATGTAAAAATAAACGATACACTGGTGAAAAGCATCATGTCTTAGTGGAAGTGTCAGAAGATCGACATATCATCGTACTTAGACAAAGAATCTGTATACCATTTTCAAAGATCTGTATATTTGAACAGTTTTTATTACAAAATGGCATTCACTATGAACTGCAAATATGCCGATCTAAAGCTGGGAGCTGGCAGCATACTCGTATCCAATGACACCAGCAGAGGTTACACTATGTCGCGAAAATCTTAATAGACATTTCCCCACCTAAGATATATCTTCTATCTCAGTGGTACTTTTAGTCTAGAGGATGTTGATGGGAACGAAACGATTATCTTACTCTTTTCATAGAATGGTGTTAATACTCCTTTGGATTATTACTGTAAGCTGAAATTGTTCAACGATGTTTAGTTTTAAGTCTACTAGTTGTCCTAATGTTATATCAATTTTTATCATCAAAGTTTTTAACTTTACCGTCCTTTAATTTGATACCAAGCATTACTGCATCACTAGGCTCACATTTATAAACAACATTCTTCATTTGTTGTGGCATCTAACAAAGTGTGAGTGCTAAGCAAAATCTTCTAGACGTTAAGTTAAGAAAATCACACTAGGTGGAAGATTCTAACAGATCTTGTTAACGCCAAATGATATCTTTATTGACGTATTTATCAACTCTGTGTGCAAAACAAAAAGCTTCAATAATACAAGAAATGATTTTAGATAACATTCTATTAAATTACCCGTATTCATGTGGTTTACACTCTATCCTCAAATCATAGAAATTGGTCGCCCGTCTGATTATAATTGTTGGGAATCGTTTCCGTCTTGACTACGATGTTGTCCTTGCTCTGAAACATCCGGAATTCAAGAGTAGCCATTCGAGCATTTTTAATGGATATTCAGCATTAAATCTTCGATTTTGAACGGAAGCTTGAAATTGCTTAAACTATTTTTTTGAATTCGAGTTTATCAAACAAAGTGGGAACAATATCAGCTAACAATTTTGCTGATGTTGCAAGCGACGACATCTCGTCTGCAGAGAGGTTTGTTTCTTTGAATTCTATGAGGCTGGTTGAGATTAATGAGTGATTTTTGACACAAGAATTTATCTTGATCCGCTCGTAGTAGATCTGTTGAACAATCTAGACTAAACAGAGTTTTGTGCTTGAACTTGTTCAGTTTTTAGACCAACACTTCTAATATATAAACGCTTTCATCGTCATGCGGCAGAGTCGCTCCCTTTTCATTTAGTCAACATCGGTCGCAGAATAGGATATGAGAACATCTCTGCTTTTCAGCGTTCAAGAAGTTATAATGAACATATGCCGAGAAGAAAGAAATCGTTATAACCTTCGGTTAAACCTGGAACGACAGTTTCACTCCACACGTGATAGACCTACTGTCATTGTCGCATCGGAGCATCGGATTAACGTACACAGTTCGTAGGGTGCTCTTGAGCATGTACATATTTTGTCGTACAAGAGAAAACAATAGTCTGGTAACTGGGAAATGCATGTGTTGAGGCCCTCAATTTTTTTCCTTTTTTTTGAATAACAAGCCCACGCCTTCTCTGGAAGAGTACGCAGTCCTTGTTTGAAAAAATGGTTCACACGACTCGTTTTTCATGTCTGCTGTGCAAATCCCAGCACTTCTTGCATTCGATTCGTTTTCCTCGCATGTCCACAAAGATCTTCCAACATTTACATATGGCTTCCGCTGCGACTTTTCATTTCATCGTGATTGCCATTGAATGCTGGTCGAGCCGGGTTCCCCATGGAGTCCTGAGATAACTGGACACGTATTGTACGAATTTTCCAACCCCGGAGGGATAAGGGGCTTGATGAGCCTGGGGCTGGATCGAACCAGCACCGTGCTTGTGATGGTCAGCATTGCTACCACTGTGCTCCAACTGTTCCACAAACGCAGGCAACCTATGGTAAATTAGTGTAAACACTTTTTTTGAGCTATCTAAGTATTCCATGAAGTTTAACCAGCTTTTAAGGAAATTTTAGACACAAAGCAAAGTTCTTATTTGTCAACGGAAATCACAGTGAACATCCGAGCAATGTCGTGAATAATGAATGCAACATAACAAGCCGAAAGGGGTACTGGGATCCACAAAGTATGGAAACTCGCATTACATAAACATAAACAAATGAAAAAATGTCTACCTTGGAGTGCCTGCCGTGAACCTCCAAACTCTGACTGCTTTTCGTTCGTTTGCGCTCCCTACTACACAAAGACTGGATCGTTCCACGGAATTGCGGATTGAACCATGAATAAATCACGGGATTCAGAGCTGCTGACATCATTGCTGATACATGACATAGCGCGAATACCTATATACAAACAGTCACCACGTGGTCATTATTTTCCAACTAATCTGCTTCTGAAGCACCGGTCAAAATGCCCTCAAGCTTATTCTAAGTCTTACTCTAAGCCCTATCAGATTGAAAATTCCATAATAAATTTCAATACAGGAAAACCATGAAAAAATTGTGGAAGTTCTAAGGCCGTTATTTCTAGCTTTTATGCCTTTAAAACATAAATCCTTGTTCAGCTCTCTGAGTGTTTGATTTTCATAGGGAAAAAAATTGTACCCACAGTGGAGAACCACGGTCTGTTGACGAATGAACCCCAGTCGCGATACAAGTTGATCGCATTTAATGGCATCCAGGCGAAAACGAACCCGAGCACCATGGCAATCATCATTCTGAAATCAATTCAGTGTCTGCGACACATATTTTTGTGAATAAGAAAACAGATAATTAACCGGTTTGCGCGAGCTTTTCGATGCACGAGTTTTTCCTCGGATTCCTTTAGAAGTGTATGGCCGCGTCGTCGCTCCAACTGCGACGACATCACTCGACTTATTAGCCAGTAGCACACGGATGAGATCAGTGCTGGCACACCAAACTGCGACAGCAGCACTGACAGCCCGTAGAGGCGACGACCAGCGGACTGACCATCCTTAGTGTCCGGCCTGAAAAACTGCTCACCTGCACCTTTTATTTCGAGTACTTGCAAGCGGTTTCATGCTAGAAGCTTGAAGGACAAAATTCGAAAATAAGGTTAGTCACTCCAGTTGGTCAAAGTTGGCCATTCATTTTTTAAGAATAATTCCAAGCTTTTTTTGCTAACTGCTTTTCTTTGCCTATTATTTATATAATATGTATTTCGCTTGCTATCACAGTATTTTCAGCGCATTTTTTGTCGTTCCCATTTTCGTACAACGAGGTATTTAGGAGACGACCACATATAATCTTTTGCTGCAGTTGCTAGATTAACTACCATACATAATCCCCTTATTCACGCTGACGCCGACGAGTCCTAGTAACGCTTCAAGTCGTCTCTGTTGTGTGCCACAGTTGTAAGTAGGCTCCGTTCTCCTCAGGCACCAAAAGATATAAAATTGCCGTTTTTGCCACCGTAAGACAACGTATTAACAGGAAGTGCGGCATACTCTCCTCTATAGGAGCTAGTGTAGGTCTTAGCTTGGGATTTCTCAGAGTAGACGTGATATTTGCAGACAGTATTTATCATTATCAGCGCTTATCTACGGTACAGGTTTTATATGATACCATCCATAACCAATTTCTGTGTACTTTTCAGCCATCTGATTTTAGGTGATTATAGGACACGTGATGTGTACGGAACACGATTTCCACTTCGGTAAGCAACCCACGCAAGTATACACTAATATATTTAGTTGCCTATACGTGCAGGAGCTACTTAGCTTCACGATTAACCAAATCGAATAACTTACATGATGGAGATGTTTTGGGATGACATCAACACAGTGACGACGTTAAAATAAGTGTAATTTGAAAGCCTTATGCATTATACTGGCCTTATTTCGGTATTCTGGCTCTTATTTTCTGTTATTTAATAATCGACTTATCACCTATACAGCTTTAAATGGCATTATGGTATAACGAGCGTGTGTAGCGCATTGGTTACAGGTGCCCTGCAATATATACATGGTCGTTGTTTTGATCACCAGCTCAGGACTCACCACGCTTTCCATTCCTCCGGGTTCGCCAAATTGATACTAGATTTGATTTGGAGGGCAGCAGCACTAATACTTACAATGGCAGGCCACCATAAGTTATCGTATAGGCTGGATATGCATTCAACCACCTTTAACGATGCTTAATGAAGTCGAAGACATGCATGGTGCACATCTCTCAGTTATTCATCAATACCGACAGCTTTTTCCTTCAAACCTTTGTCTCACGGTGAAGAATGAAGCTGCTATATCGTCCTCGAACGCAGAAGCAGATGACGTCTAGCAATCTCCTTTGCAAGACACGAAACCTGTCACTGATCTGTACGGATTATGGTGAAGACTCTCTCACAATGAAGTCTAACCTCTCTTTTATGAAGACTTGGAAGCGCTACAACAGTGTCCTTTCAATGCACCTCATTTCAACGATATTCTAACACGATGTTGGTACCAAATATTTAATACGTCTCGACGTCTTCACCTTCCTCAGAGCCGATGGCCCAAGTCAGTACTATGTAAACTTGACAGACAGTTAGGTTCGACTCGGATCATGGGCTCTGAGGAAGACGAAGATGTCGAAACGTTGGCCAAGTAAGTGTCTGGTAAGAATCTCGTAATAGCTTAACAATGAAATAAGGCACATTGATGATTTAGACCGAGGTTAAGTGAAAGTCAGTTTAAAAAAGTACTGCTCTCTCATGTTTTCAGGGAAAATAATCCTTACAAAAGGATAGAGCCCTCGGCGTTGATCAATCCCTGTGGGATACGCCATGCACTCAACTTCATTAAGTATCGTTTGAGGTGATTGAATGCATGTCTCGTCTTTACAATGACTCGCAGTGGCCTACCGATATATAGAGCCAGTGCTGCTATCTTCTCAGACAAGTCTGGTACGAATTTACCGACCCCGGGGAATGGAAGGTTTACTGGGCCATAGGCGCTGGGATCGATTCCACGTGTGTGTTGCGGGGCGCCTTCGACCACTGCACCACACGAGCCCACCCTTGAGCTGCACTTAATATATGAACGAAGGAATGAAAGTGAAGCATCCCCAAATCAAGAGCACACAAGATGTCATTCAGCTCCACAAATGGAGGTCGCGAAATAACGAAAGGAATGACAAGAAAGTACCAAGACCTGGATGACATGTGAGGGTTGGGTATCTCTAGGTACTAAATCGCACCATCATACACAATAACTGTTCTTATTCTCGCTCAAGACTACCAATTCTATAGATCTGATAGTTCCTTTAACTTATAGAGTTGTCTGTTACAGGTAAACTACTTATTAATCTATCGATTATTATCCACTCGCTCTATAGATCGTATCCGCATTCATGGACAAAATAAAAAATTGCATGCGCCGAAAAGATGATGGACGTGCATCACTGTGTAGATGTAGGAACCACAATTCACCGCATCAGTACAATTGGCATCGGTGCTACCACAGTAGTCGCAGATGGTTCCAGTTCATATAAAAATTACCCTTTCATTTACCTTGAAGCATCAATTTCAGTATCAGTTAAAGACGCCAGATGTAGACAACGTGACTTGTAAGTTGTTGTAGTTAAATATAGCACAATTTATTCAGAATCTTCTTTCTTAAGTTCTCAGTCATCGAAAATGTAGTCTACACAAGTCCATGTAGTCATTTATAAATAGAAAGGTTCTAGCTGCAACTCAAAAAACCAACTATCTGTAAACCTCGGGATAAATAATTGATACATTTATTTGTATGTTCTTATGAACTGATTTTGTTGAGTTGATGTGAGGTTGGTATAAGTGGTCGTCGTTTTTTGTCGTTGTTGGTGTTGGTGTTGTTGGGTGATGGCTGACATTTCGGCGATTTCGCCTTCCTCAGAGACGTGTTGTGGGATCGAGAGTGGTGTTAAATATATTTTTGGGCTGATAGCATTCCCTTTCTTCAGACACCTTCGAATCATCATTTTTGACCCTTTGCTGGGTATTAAACGACCAGAGAAGAACTCTTAGTGAACTGAAGTGAACTCCACAACCAATCGTTAGTTCCACCTGTTGCTGCCAGCTTCCGGCTCACAGTAAATCAGTTGCTAATCTTAATCACTTTTGCTTTTTTCCATTTAGTTTTGTTCATCGTTGTAGTCCAATCTATAATCTGTATTTGTCAACTATCGCAACAAATTCAAGGATTATTGTATCAACGTTCTAGTTCGAAAAACCGTTCGACCGACTCAGCATTGCTTCATCACTAATTATATCTCCTGAACGGACTTTGTTATCCTGTGGCCAGTAGTCTTTAATCACTTAGTGCCTGCAGTCAAACGATAGTAGTGCGCGTGTTATGCAGGGTTTCCCAGCTTTATTCCACGTTTACAAAGTGCCACTCGCGAAAGTGGTTTTGAAGTGGCACTGGTCACAAGATTACAAATGCTCGTTAGAGTGGATCCTGTCTTCCAAGGTCGTAGTCACAAACTTAGAGAAGCGCTACGTCGCCCCATAATTTAGTAGTTATCACTCAGTGGAGAAAGATCCATAGGACTATGGGCTTCGTGTTTATTAGTAAATGAAGACAATCATTAGTGATGCACTTCTATATGGGGATTAAACGCGATGGTGATAAAGGTTGTCGAGAAACACGAAACAAACCAAATTTCTTCGCAGAAAACCCCACAGAGGTCGTCGTAGTTGACAGCTCGTGAGAAAATGCCGACGGGTAGCGCCAGTATGTAGCCTAAAACCCAGATACTAATCACCATCGCCACCGCACGGTTATAGCCAATGATCTGAAAAGCAGTAGTAATTTTGTGAACGGAAATTACCGATTTTTCAATTATAGGACATATTAACTTTTGGAGGTTCGAAGAAGATTTTTTGATGCCAGCCACTATTTCAGTCGGATTTTCTAAAGAAAATGAGTGGAAAGGAATTTGATTCCAGAACAAATGGGACATCTAATTTTTATTTTTTCTCTTTCGTTTCTTTGCCAAGACATTGTTTTGCTTCCTATGTCCACTGATTGTTTACAGTTCGTTTATTGTCTGACACAAACCAACCTCCTTATTCGGCTTCAGTATCAGTAGACAACGATCCAAAGCGATCACTGTTAACGTGAAGCTGGACACAAAAATGCTGCCGCCCTGAAGAACAAGGACCATTCTGATTCTGAGAAAACCTAGGACCCACAGTCTCGTTTTGGAAACTAGGTAACTAGAAGTAATTTTTTCAATTTTATTTTGTAAGACCCGTCTTCACGTCTACTATGCGAAACCCAGTACTTCTCGCTTTCGATTAATTCCATTCGTTTCCTGGCATCCATTATCGACGAAGGTCTTCCAGCTTTTACGTGTATTTTCGGCTGCTCTTTGGTGATTTTCATTCCATCTCGAATATCTAAAATGCTGATAGAGTCGATTCTCCCTGAAATCCTGAGACAGCCGGGCTGGAACGCTCCCAGTTGGACTATTGAGCCATTTTTTCCCGAATACGTACGGTACCAATTTCCCGACCCCGGAGCTATGAGGAGCTTAGCGAGCCTGGTGCTGGATTGAACCAGCACCGTGTTGTGATGATTAGCATCGCTACCACTTAACTATCCGCCCCGTTATTATAGATAATTAGGAAAATTAATTGCTTTTGAAATTAGAATGAAAACTTATTCTCATGACAAATCTATACTACTACAATTCTTTGGTCAAGAATTAAAGCCTTAAGGAAAAAACTCTATTAACAACAGATTTGAAAAGCGAGAAAGGTTCAAAAACTTCATTCCAAAAAGTGATGGCATTTAGCAATACCGACATTGCCTGATTTGGCTCTGCTCCTATGCCAAGTAAAAGTCGAACGCTTAAGTCGTAGAGGCTTTTGCTTTTGTGTAGCAAATTCCTAGAAAGGTGTGGTTTACATATCGATAGCTGGTATTTGATGGATGCTCAGTTATCGCGAAGAACTACCTGCGAGATATGGGATTGCTATCAGAGCATTTATTTTTGCATCTAAAACCCAATGAAGGTATGCGCTTTTGTTTACAAACTCCACATATAAGAGAATCCACATGAATTCTTATATTACAGCTTGTGAGAGAAACCACATGAAATATCATATCATTTTGTATGCTTTATCTAATACGGAGACGTGTCTACAGTTTTTTTAGAGGGCTAGTTTCCACCCCGATTAACTACTTCTCTATGCAACTTCTTACTCTGTGGTGCTAATAGATGTTCGTTAGTTTCATTGCTTAACTAGTGGAGAGAATGCACCGGAAAAACCATTACAAGAAAGCCAGTGACACTTTCCATGAAGTACAACAAGCAAATTGTTTTTATTTGAGAGTGAAAGAACGCTAATATAACAAAGTAGGCTTGAGACTTTTGAAATCTTTAGTTTGAGACTTTCTTGCTGCTGAGAAATGTCATTCCATTTAAGGGAATATTCATTAGTTAATAGATGTCCTGACAACAAAAAAATTGCTGTTTACGAGACCTTAAAGATTGACATTATCGATGATTCTTTGCAGTTAAAGTTGGATGGACTAATCATAATTATTACAAATACACGAAGACCCCCATTCTACTGATGGTTACAGAAAACAGCTCCTTCTATTCGGGATATCGCTATGTAGCAAAATGTCCACGCTGATGATATCCCACCTAGGTACTTCGTTCCCGTACTGCTGGGAGCCAGCTGACATAGTTTGAATTTCGACGATTTTCTGACAATTACAAAGTTGGTTCTGCTTGGTACTAACGAACCACTTGACCCAAACAAGGTTTGCTTTATGAACGTATATTTTAGGTTTACGAATGAATATTTTAATTTCATCACCCTGCTAAAGGGCAAAGGGAGGGTGGATCCCTAGGCGTTCGGCAATCCCTCAGGGAGGGGTCTGTACTCTACTTCACTAATAATTCTGGAGCCGATTGAATGCATGTCTGGCCTTGAATTTCTGTCGCCTACCGATGTATCATCGTGCTACTATCCTCTCAGAGATGTCGTACCAATTCTTTGACCCTATCAAGGACGGTTAGACAACCATTGCGCTAAACTCGCCTTGTTATATATAAAAATATATATTTAAAAGGTTATATATTATACGGTGCATTTTTTTTCGTGCTTACGCTCCCCAGTTTGTACCCACTGCGATTTTTTATCGAAGAACCAATTATTTCGTCATACTTTCCCTTAAACATGCAACCATCGTCGGCGCAGAGGACGTAGGCGAGCACATGTAAATATTTCATAGTCACAGGAAGTATGCGATTAACCCGCACCTGGAATACGGCAATCAGCTTGCAGATTGGTCTCGGGAATATCCACTCCCTAGTGAAGATTGTCACCGCTGTCCACGGCAGCGAAGTAAGCGACATCAAAAGATCGGATACGGCCAAACATCCAATGAAGACAGTGCGGACCGAAAAAGAGACCTGCAAATGCGAATGCTACGAATATTTCCTAATATGAACACTTGGAGCAAGTACTCCCAATTCTCAAAACATTGTTTAAAAATTCGAAAACCTCTGAACTGCTTGTTATACTAATTGATGTCCTCATAGTGGTAACAGCTTTATTATTTTACAAATCCCTGATTTCACGATATGCACTCCTTATTTTAAAACGCGACTCCATTAGGTTACAATGGTTGCCTTTGAGAAATCAGATCAGTGAAAACATAAGGCTTCAGTTAATTCTTTATTATTTCTGCACCTTACTTCGAATGAATTCATGTTTCTGAGTATGGCCGACAGGATCCCAAAAATGACTTCCACAACTTCATCGATTCTTAACGCCTGAAGTCCAATATCCAAGTTCGTGTATCCTACGTAACTTTTCAAAGCACATGCTACGTGTTGATATCAACTCAAGCAGGTCAGATTAGTTTATACGTGAGTGGATCTCTGTTCAAGTCAAACTCTTAGTGTAATGCTCTAGAATTATGTACAAGTATCATTCATAAACTCGTTCAACATTGGAACAAATGCGCTGGTCTTATTAGTCTTTATGCATGAATGAACCAAATCGAACTGGATAATCACAAAAAGCACTAGAGGCGGAGGATGCAAAAATGAATAAAAGCTATTTGTAGAAAAAATGCCGCAACGCCTCTACATATCGAGTGATTTTTATTCCATTTTTCTCAGCAACGTGCCCTAGGCTTTTCTTTCGGCTCTGCTCGGTAAAGGTGGACGGGAAGCCTTATTTTGCTCAAAATCTTCTTTAAAAAGTCTGACTATTGAATCGTCTAGACTAAACTTTTGCGGTAGCGCTGTTAATCTCTAGCGTTGTCATAGGTTGAGTCTCTAGAAACCTACTTTAAGTCTTATTAGGGATAACATGGTCATCGTTTGGTAACGCTGAGCGTACCTAATACCGTTTACGTAGTGACGTATTTCCCACTGGCTCCTTCGAAGCGATTCTTTTCATTGACCATCAATGAGGCGTAAAAACAGAAGGATTTTTAGACCAAGAGCTTTTTTATGCTTCCTTATAAGATATAGAGATCGGTGTAAGGTGTTATCAGTGAGGCGGAAGTGGAGTTCGTGCCGGCCATCCGACCTCACTTCTATCTTACCTCGTCCAAGTTCTTCGAGAGACGGGTTTGGTAGCTTTTTCGAGATGACACCTCTTTCTTGAACCATCACTCTTATGTCGATATTAACTATTTTTGCAGAATAGAGAAATTCGGCTTATGACCGTGATGCTTAGCTACAGAAGGACCATTACGTATGAAGTAAGGATGCCTTGTGCCTCATCGGAATAAATTGTGCTCTCAATAAAGATGAAGCGCAGTTAAGCAAAGAATTGGACATTTCACATGATGGCGCATAGCTCACACAATTTATCACTGAGAAACAGCTAAACCAGAATTTTTTTTATTTCTAAATAACTTTCGAAAGCCCTCATATTTGCCTTTTTAGAAACTCACATTGTTCTCTCCAGTCTCTGGTGGAGCTCATTATAATTTGTATTTTTTTTCAAGAAATAACGCAAGAAAAGATGTTGTGCGCAGTAGAGCAGAAGTGGATTGATGTAGACAAAAACGAATCTGCACTTTCACGGTGCTCATTTAGGATGCATATGAGGAAAAAGCACTCAGCTATAACAGGAATTTCAATTGATGCGGTGATAAAATATCCCTGGTTAGTGGCAGGTATAAAGATACTAACCCAAATTCAAGATGGTCGTTTTAGAACGCTTGTATCTTCTTGGCTGCATAATTTTTGAGGGGATCTAAATTCAAGCATGGTATTTCGTGAAAAGCGTGAAAGATAAAGCGTTCGCTGTTTATCAGTCCCTGAGGGATACGCCATGCATTCCCAAGTATCGTACAGGTGATCTGAATGCATATCTGGCTTATACATTGACTTACGATGGCCTAAAAATGTACAAAGTCTGTGTTGTTAGTTTCCCAGACAAGTAAGGCACCAATTTTCCAAACAGAAAAGATAGAACACTTGGTGAACCCGCACCAAATCGATCCATGATCGATCTAGTGTGCATTGTAAAGTACCGCTTGTAATATTTGGCACTGGGCTACACGCGTCTTTCGCTTCGTGTATTGGCTATATTTCAGAAAACATGTTCCAAGCACTACGTGAGTGGTTAGTTTTCTACGTTCTTAAGTGTCCCATGAGCTACTTGGCAAATATCTAGTATAAATATGCTCCGTGCGTAGTTTTGAGTTCACGACTTGATCGATGACTCCTTTGAGAGTCTCGGACGCGGCTCATGCTGCTCTCCTACTTCTAAACAATCTGTTTTGTGGGTTCTGTAACTAAAAACAGCTCATTTATATTACTTTAGCAACGAGCCATCGGTTCTTCATGGATTGGTATTTGCTCCGAATCTTGCACAATCCTATCCATCTTACCGTCTTGCTGAGTCCCTTAGTAATCGTCTCTCGTTCATCATTACTTCGTAAAAAGGTGTCGGCGGCAGGAAAAAAAGCTTGAATAGTAATTTGAAATTACTGCGCATGCTCTTTTCGTTCCAATCGAGCGGCTCCCTTATTCATTTCAATTCGATCGCCACAAAACCTCTAAAGGGTAAAGCTCTCGGCGTTGAACAATCCCTGAGAGATGCGCCACGCATTGGACCTCATTAAGCATTGTTTGTAGGCGATTGAATGCATATCTGGCCTTAACAATAACTCGCGATGGCCTATCAATGTACCGGGCCAGTGTTGCAATACTTTCAGACAAGTCTGGTACCAATTTACCGATCCCGGAAGGATGGAAGGCTTACTGAGCCATAGGCGCTGGGATCGATTCGATTCCGCGTCTGCGTCGTAATGGCGCCTCCAACCACTGCGCCACACACGCCGTCGTCACAAATTTTGAAAAACTTTTTTCGAACACGAACTTCTTTTTGCCCAAAATGATGGAATGCTGTCAAAAAAGCTGTATTTGACCGCTAGCCTTGTGGGGACAAACAGATAGAATCCATATATCGACAAACGCTGATAGGATAGCATTCATTGCCACTATATCGAGCGCCTTTGTCGAGAAATTGTGCAGCTAGTAAACCTGACAGACGTCTTCTATCACCTATCCACGGCTTCAATGTAATCCATACATCAAAACACTTTCCAGAAACCTCTCTGCTCAACTGATTATATCCCATCCAATGTTTTTGACATTTGTGATAACTTTCGTATACCACATGTACAGATGCACTTAATACACAAATCGAAAGGTGGTTGGGAACTTCCTTGTGGTCCTCTTTCTTGGGTAGGAAGAGTGTGAATAAGGTCTTCCACAATGATCCTTTTTTTGAAGATAAGTTGGTAGGTAGGTAAGGTATGCGCAAAAAAGTGGCTTATACTTCCTGTTTTTTATTGCTACTATAGTTGGATGTAATGTTTTCTGATTCCGAATTTATGTCTTTCCTCAAATGCTTGATCTCATGTTGAACTTTATAGGGAACAATCCTGAGAAGTTTTTTTCAGTGGCAACTTCGCCGTATAGAATAGGGACTGTAAAGAGTAAAACATTGGTGTTAAACTTTTTTGTTATCAATTCCATGTTATGACTGACTGTTATGACTGATAATAATTAGTAATAGCGCATTCGTTTGTCAGTAATTACAGCGGAGCATCACGCCGCCGTAAGTCTCGATAGTATCTCTTCATAAGATTTGCTTGATAGTTGCTTCCAATGGTTTTTTTCCAGTTGTACTGGTGCAGATTCTCCCTCGAAGGCTACAACTGGCATTTCTTATTAGTCGTGTTATGCGTGTTTCGACCGAATCCAACCCCTTTTGTCGCTTCTCGAGTACATTAGGCGTGTTCGGTGTCATATTTGCTTCTGTGAAGAGCTCGTACCCTCCATTCGGACTTTTCTTAATCTACTCTCAGAGAAAATCTTTCGTCCAGAATCCTTCCTTCAATACTGTTCTTGGAATATGACAGGATTTCTTTTCCAGATTAACGCTGAATCAGATTCGAGCACGGAGAGGACTGTGATCGAATCCATTACACAGGAATAACAAGATAGAAGAGAATCCACTGAGGTGTCAAGAACGCACCACCTTCTTTTTGTGAAGACATGATCGATCATCGCAGGATTTAGTATATTAGGTAGTATGTCAACGACGACTATTTTTCTTCACGAGGAATGAAATCCCATTGAAGAAGCTTGCTGTTGATGGAAATTCAGCAAAATAGTTTCTCCTCCCATTTCGATTTCCTGCTACAAATTTTCAAATTCTGTACTCTATTTCGCTAGAATTCCCCAAATATGATCGACCTCCTATGAGTGCACGAGGTCGACAAGGGATGAGAGTCCAACGAAGTTACACCAATGCCGTTTCAAACGACTAGTTTAAGAATTGTGGAAAGCTCACAGCTAGAGTAGAGTGCAGTGCGCGTAGTTTTCTTGTTCAGCAATCACGAGGTTGTTATACAGCGTTACATAATCCAGTGCCGAGGTTAATAGAACGTCGATCCTAAGAACTGCTACAAGAGGAGGCTGTTTTGATGCCGCCGATGGCCTAGTTAAAAAAGTGTCTAAAGTGTGTCGCAGATGTGTTGTTTTAGTTTGCCTCCGATAAAATCCTTAGCAACCCAGGATTTAAATGCTTTTAACCGATTCTTTTACCCCTTGGCATAGATGGGAGCACGCAGTGTGAGAATATTAAGCCTGGGTTATCCCTGATTTCGCAATTCTCTTTTCCACAGAATCTCAGCTTTTACAACATTTTCAGGTTATCACAATAGGAAGTCGTTAATCATTGTACACCAGCAGGAAGTGTTACTGTAGCACAATAATTATGTATTCTTTCTTTGATGAGCTTACACGAGGTTGATAATGTTGTTTATTTTCGGCTAACGTTTCGACGTCATCGTCTTCCTCAGAGACGATGATCCGAGTGGATGGTCCTCGCTTGTTATTCGTCTCGACGTGGCAGCTTCGCCTTCGTGTCGAGTCAGGTCTTCTTCAGCGAGCCATCTCCTCGAATGAGGCATCCTCACTTAGTGATGCCCTTTTATACACGATGCTGATGGTCGATATAATGATAATGTCCGGTGATAACAACTTGTTTTTCTTCCAGACATACATCATTGGGCACATCGTGCAGAATAATTATGATTACTTAGCCGACAGGTTGGGAGCGATGTAATAAGCCGAATGCAGAAAGGAGAGAAATACAAAGGTAAAAATTCCACCAATTAGTCGAAGATTGAGGATGTCCGAATTCGTCTAATCAATATTTTAGGCCTCACAATTCAGAATCTGCATAGGATCTCAACCAGCATTGAAAACTAGAGAAGAAAAATGAAAAAAATGACGAACGGAATATAGGCAGTTTGAAAACTTGTCACTCTCCCTTGTGGTGTGCATGCAGGAAGCAGTTCTCAATAAAGCTCTTCGACGATGAACTTTTCCTCTACAGCAGCCTATGTGAATTGCTCGATAGCTCGATAGACAAGCAAGAATCTTACGCTTTTCAAGTGAGAGAAGAATTTTCAGCTAATCTCCGTCCATACAAAGCTAAGACAACGGCAAAAATCTTCTTAGATTTCTCACAATCAAATACATACTGCCTTTTTCAGAAGTTATCCAATTGATCGCTCACAGTGCGAATTTCTTAGAAAAAAATCTTTGTTTGAACAATACTGAAATCAAACACGGAAGAAGAACTTCGAAAAAATCTTTGGAGGAGGTGGTCGATATGTGTGCAGGGACTTTTTTAGCGAATAAAGATGCCAGGTATCGGAAATGATGGTGGTGGACTGGACTGTAGTGGGAAGCTGGTGTGCGGTACCTGTTTGAATGAGATGACGTAGAGCACAAGAATGTTGCCGACAATGGCTGCGACCCACACCAAAGTGTAGAGCAGACTGAAGACCACACGTACTGCCGTGATGTCGATCGTCTCGAACATAACATCTTGGATGCTGGTACAATTCTCCATCTGAAACACAGCAACAACAATGCCACAAGATCAGCCACTGACTAATGACTGAATTGTTCGCTATAATATCTAATGTTAGGGTAGGCAGCGATAAAGAACCCACAGAAAAAGAAAACCATTCAATCGGGAGCAAACAGCATACAGATTTTTCCACGGACTCCGTTCTAAGAAACCACAACAGACAGCAGCTAACAAGCTATTAAACCAAATAAACAAAACCGATTTATGACAAACTCGTGTAAGATTTTCAATAAGCCTAAGCAACTAATATTCTACCCTGTTCTGAAAAATGGTCATGCTTCGCAACCCTAGACACGTCACTTGTTTCGGCACCTAACCTGGTCTTCTCAACGTCTCAGTATTAATAGAAGGAAAAAAATTTTTATGACCACATGCGAACGAACGTAAGCAGAACGACGGAAATTCAAATCGAAGAACGAAAGTTTGTGCTCTAGACGCCCAATGTTTTCTTCCGACTGCCTGTCTGGTCGCATTTACGAGTTAATGTCAAGCACTTTCTATAAATCGCTACAGTCGGTCGTCGTTATTGTCCAGAGAATAGTGACCAATCTAGAGCGCTAGACTTGCTTCTATTAAAAGTCTGTATCACGCGGTTGTGTGGTATACAGTAGAATAGAACGGCAGTAATCTGTCGACTCATTCTATTTTTATAATTTTCTGGACAATAGTAAATAGTAACCACGTAGAGTAATCAAAATGGAGCAGACGGGCCAGAAGGCCTCTTTATCTTACCATACACAGAAAATTTTTCTCAGATAAGATTATTTGACAGTGCTCCGTGGTATGTTCCACCACAGCTCCTACGCCGAACACCTCTACTATAATGAACTACTGGAATTTACCGAAAACCAGAAAAACTCGAATGGCTATTTTTAGATCCAAATGTGAAATATCACCACTATGAAATATGATGAGTGCTCTAAAATTTCAAATGAAAAACAAATTGTTCCACACTTAATTCACTACCTATCATTTTTCACGACACGGTGTTAGGCAAAACATAGCCCCAATGGTACTGAGGATAAAATAAAAAGGTTAAGGCTCTTGGCGTTGATCGATCCCTGAGGGATGCGCCAAGCACTGGACTTCATTGAGCATCGTTTGGATGTGATTGAATGCATACCTGGTCTTTACAACGACTCGTGGTGGCCTGCCGATGTATCGAGCCAGTGGTGCTATTCTCCCAGACAATTCTGGTACCAATGTGCCGACTCCAGAGGTATGGAAGGCTTGGTGGACCGGGGGCGCGGAGATCGATTCCACGTGTGTATTGCAAGGCGTCTCCAACCACTGCTCCACACGGGCCCTATGGTGCTGAGATATTTGCAAATCTCGGAACCCCAGGCCAGCATCGAACCTGCGATTTTCCTTTTCTGGGCTCGCGAGCTACCCACTGCACCACCGAGGTCGTTGATAATTCTCTATTACCTTAACGACGTTATAGGCGATCATCCATCAACGGGAATGATCTGGCGACCACAACTCGCCAATGAACGCAATTAAGCTGAAGGCTGGTTGTGCAGGGTTAACGCGTGAGCCCCGGAAAGTGCAATCGCGGTTTCGAAGCTGGCCTGGAGTTCCGAGTTTGGCAAAATTTTCAGCAGAGTTGTGGTTGAAGGACAAATCGTTTGTAAGAGATTTTTTTAGTTTTAATTAACTTAAAAAGCGAATAGCAAAAAATCAAGGCTTGCTTTTCGCATACGATTGGTAAAATCACCAATGAATACACTGCAAATTAGTATGAAGTTTATCCCATTGCTGCACTGTAGACAAGAACAGAGTTCAAGTTCGATGTTTTTCTTTAATAATCAGACACGAGGTTGTTATTATAGAATTTATTTGGATACAATAGCTGACCTTTCGGCGGTTTCGCCTTTTTCAGAGCTTGGAAAGGTCAAATTGAGATGCGATCTGCTCAAGTAAGCGTTTTCATAACCCTAGCAGAGGGTTGGCAATGGAACAGCGACTGGCACTATCCCTTGCCGTGCCTTTATGTCTAAAGTTGAAGCACCAGTAATCGATCTAAGACAATTCCTCTACTGTAGGTATATAGATGATTGTTTTGTAATCTGCTCCACACAAGAGGAGATGGACAAATGCTTTGAGTTATTGAACGAATAGGCAGAGTACATAAAATTCACCCGTGAGAAACAGAAAGAAAACTGGCTTCCATTTCTAAACGCTCAAATCAACCTATCCGAAAACGGCTACAACACAAAGTCAAGCAGTGAGAATATAGTAGTTCATTACCCCTCCTCTCTTCCCTCACACACTAAAACGGCACTTATAAGAAATGTGTTTCGAACCCCCACTAGCGTGTGCACAGGTGGAGAGCAGAGGGAAGAATCATCGAAACTGGCGCGCCAAATAGCCATGGTTACGAAACTGTAGATTTTCGGCATAGGCATGGAGGAAAACCCACGCTCCAGAGCGATTATCCTAGCGAAAACAAGGCTCCGTTCCTCTTGCCCTTTATTTCAAACGAAATAAGTGCAGCTATAAAACGTTGCTTAATAAGGGCCGGTCTAGAGAATTCCGTAAGAATGATAGAAATACCATCCACACTCTAAGACGACAGCTAGTTCGCAACCGCCTATATGACCGTATATGTATAACGAAAAACTGCATAATTTGCACTAACGGTAAATACGGTGATTGCACGAGTTCGGGTACAGTCCATCTGATCTCTTGCAAGGCGCGCGGAGACGAATACGTTAGCGAAGCGGATAGACCGCTCTGAGTCTGCATAAAAGAACACCTAGTCGGTAAATCTAAATTAAAGCCAAACACTCCACTAGGTGAGCATAGGATGCAGGAACACACGGGAGAAGATTTTGAAGTAGAAGTCACTAACATCACGCAGGAATCGACAACATCAGAGCGTAAAACTCTTGAAGCGTTTTGGATCAATTCCAAAAATTCAAAAATGAATCACAAGGAGGAGTATCTTGTCATTAGGCGTGACCTGGCGCCATACCTCAGGCCGATCCAATGACCTGACACAGACACGGTTATCGCCCTTGTATTACTCTGTGCGGCTGCTATCCACCAACTAACTTAAATACTTCAATGTTTTTCATCAATAAGCAGACACGAGGTTGTTAATATAGAATTTATTAGAACACAATTGCTGACGTTTCGGCGGTTTCGCCTTCTTC